GTTCACTAGCTAATAGCAGCTAGTACAGTTAGCATATGCAGCAGTGCAACAGTCAGACTTCCTGTGTTACAAGAGAAAAAAGGTCCGTGTTGCATCAATCCTCTGATACTTTGGTCCCGGGGACGAGGAGCAGCTCCTGAACGCAGTTTAACGTTGGTTAGTTCACTGAGACTTTCTTCAACTCACAGCAACGTTTCTGTGTACAAAGTCCTCACGTACCGTAACTCTGAAAACGCAACATGTTCTCTGGTATTTGATTGAAGTCAGTGTGTTTGGTGCGTTTCCTGTGCTGCAGGCTTTAAAAGGACACTCTGTCTCTGTCTCTGAAACAAACACATACCAGCAGCAGTCCGTCCGTCCTCACAGAAACAAGCTTCACTGAGCTGCAGAAACTTAGAGATCAGTGGAGATCAACAGAGAGTAACTGCTGGTGGCTAATGTATGAGCTAACACAGCTGCACGTTCTACCTTTACTGTTCTCCACCTGCAGTCAGGAGTTCCAGTCGATCTGATGAGAGCAGCGTGCAGCAGCACGAGGTTTCGTCTTATCTGAGAAAATGTGATTTACTGCTTCATAATCAGATTCTCTGCCTCAGAGTTTCAGAGGACGAGGACTGAAAGAGGGGTTGTGGGAAAAGCTGCACATTGACGTGTGTGACCTTTGTGGGAAAGGTTTTCAAAATAAGAGTAACTGTGACAGCAGCTCTCCAGTCATAATATTTCAACTCATCAGCCATATTTATGTAATGATTAATTAATTTGTTGGTTGACTGGAAATGTATCTGATAATGTTTTGTTCATCAAGACTGTAGCTGTTATCTGTTCATCAATCGATCAGTTTTATGATAAATCATTAGTTTGGTCCATAATAGGTCAGAAATAGCTGAGCACTGTTTCCCAAAGCCAAAAGTGCCGTCCTCAAATGTCTCAGTTTGATTACGCTGTGTGTGCTCGGTTCTACTGGTACTTTTAACTTTACCAGAAAAAAATAATTTTTGACATTTGAAGAGCCAGAACTGTTGTTGTTGTTGTTGTTGTTGTTGTTGTTGTTGTTTAAACAGTGGTGTCAGTTAGATTTCTTTAGAACAGAGTTATTGAATATGAAATCATCCGTCTTTGCTCTCTACATCTCAGCCTTTATTATCCTCGGTGTGTAAAATCTTCAGGTTATTAAGTTTAAAAAAAAAGATCCTTCCCACTAACCCTGAATCATATTACAATCACAATATTTGCCAAAATTATCGCAGTATTTTTACCATATCGTATTTAAATAAGTTTGAACACGATACACATTATTATGCCCCTCCACACACACCGAGCACTTCTTTTGCTTCGTTCTCCGGTGGGCTGGACCCAGACCGAGAGCTGGAGCCGGTACCTGCTGGATGCTGGAGAATGAAGCAAAAGAAGTGCTCGATGTGTGTGGAGGGCAGCCTCTGGGCAGGGGCAGCACAAACAGAACATCACACAAAACTAGATTGACTAGAACTAGAACTTTTTCTGTTTTTGGTTTTAAAACAGAAAGAACCAGGATGCTTATTTTCTGTCTTTGGGTTCGACCTGTTGCTTTCTGAACCTGATGGACTCGTCAGACGTCCCGGCTGTAACTGTCAGACTACCTGCACCTACACCCACGCTAGGTGTGGAGTTTGACTTATTGTGGTTACAGCAGTTTAAATGAGTGTTTCAGGGATTAGTTATGACACATTTTTGTATTGTTAGTGTGGGACAGGAGAGAAAAGTACAATAATAATAATAATAATAATAATAATAATAATAATAATAGAAACAATAAAAAAAACAAAAAGAAAGGATACGTGTTTGTTTCTGTGGGATATAAATCAGTTTATTTTCTTTGGTTCGACCTGTTGCTTTCTGAACCATTATATTATTTATAGAACTGTCAGAGTTTGAAACCCTGTCTTAAAGGGGTTTGAGTTTTAAAAAGGAGATAGTTAAAGTTTTTGGTGAATCGTGAAAGTTTGTACTTTTACTGTTTTGAGAGCGGATCCTGTGGGACATTAACCGTCTAGATCTCGCGGAAATCTGAAGAGCAACAACACAGGGACGGAGGAGCGAGGCCACTCTCCTCCTCCTCCATCAGGTGCTCCTCCTCCTCCTCGGTCCCTCCCTCCTCTCTGTTTGCTGAGTTGTTTCTTTCACGTCGCTTCTTTCCTCCTCCTTCATTTTCCTGATCTTCCATGTCCTCTTTTGTGACGACTCGATGTCATGCCTTACCAGCCTGCGTGTGTCGCTGTGTGATGTCGTGTGGTGTGTGTCTTCCACTCAGCTGGTCAGATGCTAATTCCCTCCTAAATAACCTCGTGGAGCTGAAATGGTGTGTGCAATGCATGCTCTCTCGCATCTCTCTCTCTGTCTCTCTCATCTTCTTCTCTGTCTCTTCTCTGTTCTCTCTCTCTTCTCTCTGTCTCTCTCTCTTCTTTCTGTCTCTCTCTCTGTCCTCTCTTCATCTCTCTTCTCTCTCTCTCTCTCTTCTCTCGTCTTCTCATCTCTCTCTGTCTCTCTGTCTGTCTCTCTCTTCTCTTCTGTCCTCGTCTCATCTCTCCTCTCTCTCTGTCTCTCTCTCTCTCTCTCCTGTCTCTTCTCTCTCTCTCTCTCTTTGTTTGTCTGTGTGTGTAGTGAATTCAAAGTTTGGCAGGCTCAAACAGTAAAGTTTGTCTTTTATTTA